CTTTTGATTTTGATACAATATCAAATTTACAGGAATGTTATAGGAACTATACAAAAGATTTCTGTCCGTATACCCTTTACTCAGTTTCACTGATTGTTTATATTTTGCCTCATTTGTTTTCTTTTTCTCTCTTTGTGTATACATGCACACACATATATGTATGAACACACACATGAGCACACACATGTATGAACACACATTTATATATGAACACATAATACATACGAGCACATGCATGCACATACATGTACATATTATATATATATACGCACATGCATACATATAAATATATAATTGTTTTCTGAAACACTTGTTAGTAAATTGGAGACCTCGTCGTTGATATAATCTGTTATATAACCCACAGTCCATATTCAATTTTCACTATTTGTCCTAATGTTTGTTACAGCTATTCCTTTTTCCTTGGATCTAATCCAAGATCATGCATCACATTTGGTTGTCAAATTCCTTTAATCTCCTTTAATCTGGAACAGTTCCTCAGCCTTTCCTTGTCTTTCTTGACCTTGTTAGTTTTTGAAGAGCCCAGTTATTTTGTAGCCTGTTCCTAAATTTGGTTTGTCTGATGTTTTCTCATGTTTAGATTCAGGTTATGCATCTTTGGCAGGAATACCACAGGGTGATGTATCCTCAGTTTACCATCTCAAAAGCCCATGATAGTGGTTTATCCCAATTTTGGTGATGTTGACTTCCTTTTTTTTTTTTTTTTTGAGAAGACATCACCCAGCTGCATTTTTTTCTCTCCTGTTTTTTTTTCTCCCACTTGTATTGAGATTTCATTGACATATAACATTGTGTACATTTTAGGCGTACAATGTGATAATTTGATATATGACTATATTGTGAAATAATTGCCACAATAGGGTTAGTTGCACCATCTTGGTGATAGTCCCTTCGGTCACTTGGTTAAGGTAGCACCAGACAGTTCTCTCCACCGTAAAGTTAGTTTGTTCTCCTTTGAAATTAATAATTTATAGAGAGTTATTTTGAGACTGTGTGTTTTGTTCCTAATCAAACTTTCACCCACTTGTTTAAGCATCCATTGATGATTGTTTTCCGTTTTCATTTAGTTCACAGTATTAAAAAAATTCTCCTGAGATTTCTTCTTTGATTTATGTGTTGTTTGGAAGTGTGTTGTTTACTTCCCAAGGATTTGGGGATTTTTCAGCTCTCTTTCTGTTATTGATTTTTAGTTTAGTCCCATTGTGGTGTGTGAGCAGACACTGTCGGGGGAGGGGAGTATTCTGGAGTACCCTGTGATGGGGGCACAGGTGAGCCTGTGTTCTTGGACCATGAACTTCACCGGTTCCTCTCGGGTTCCTCCTCCCTCCCACGTGGTTGGGACAGGATGGCTGGAGTGGGGCCAGAGCTGGGTAGTTCCCTTCCCCAGGTAGGTTAGCCTCTGGAAAATAGTTTCTTCTGAGGGCGGGCTTTGTTGAGAAGAGAATGTTGTGGCATATTTCAGAATGGTTCCTTGTTTGCTCCCCAGATTGGAAACACGAGGGGATTTTTCTCTGCTAGTTGCTATGAAGAGCTCCTTGTAGAGCTCCTGGAGGTAAAAGTCACCCAAGTGTGGGAGCCCCCTAGGACCGAGTCCCCCTGGAGTTTCTAATTCTCATACTTGTCCAGATTGAGCCTCTAGCAATTTGTCAATTATAATCAGGTTTTCTGACCCTGGCACCATTCCTGCAGGGGTTTGTGCTCATGGGTTTCTGCTCCAGTAAGTAATGAGTCTCAGTATCTGCCTCTCTCTTCAGTTCTGGGGAGGGGGAGTAGTTTACCCTGTGACCTCATTTCTCTGACACATCCAAGTTTGTTCAGGTTTTTAGTTGTTGTTAAGATGGAGTGATGACTTCTAAGCTCCTTATATGCTGGAACCAGAAACGGGAAGTCCATTGATGATGATATATATATATATATAGATATATATATATATTTTTTTTTTAAAGATTTATTTATTTATTTATTTGACAGAGACAGAGAGTGCACAGACAGGCAGAGTGGCAGGCAGAGGGAGAGGGAGAAGCAGGCTCCCCTCTGAGCAGGGAGCCCAACGTGGGGCTCGATCCCAGGACCCTGAGATCATGACCTGAGCCAAAGGCAGCTGCTGAACCGACTGAGCCACCCAGGCGCCCCGAAGATGATGATATTTTTATCTCTATCATTCCTTCTGCATTTATTAGTTGACCTTCTAGTGCGAGGAAGAGCTTTTCTTTTTTATTAGTTAATTAAGTAAAATATTTATGTATTTATGCATTTATTTAAATGGACTCATGGACTTACAGGTTCCTATATCATTTAATGGATTATAACCTGTTCTTATTTATTTTGATACTCAGATCACTCCTGACTTGGCCAGTGGAAGTCTTTTCCAATTAGCTCTTGTATGCTTTGACATGTTCCCATTTTTCTTTGAGCACTTTCTTACTTTCTGATGCAACAAGATGTTCCAGGCTTGTCTTGTACTTTTCCTGCCCCAGCCCTAGAACAATATAATTAAATTGTAATACATTAACTACACTTTCTTTTTTGGAGAGGTTATTCTAGCTGAAGATAGAGTTTGGATTCCATGTTATTTGTTATGTTCATTGTACTACACACCATATTGTGTATGTGACGTCATCAACATTTCCAATGAAAAGGTGTGATCAGTTAGTCTTTGAATCCATTGTTCTGCTTTGGTTTAGCATTTCAGGTCTGGGTATGATTTGCACAGGTGCATTGATGTATCATTTTGATTTAGGTAATTGCTTTATTTGAGTGTGTTTGTTAAGAACTGCGATTAAAACCCCCCAGTTAACTCAGTGTATCTAGTGATGGTTGGTTCTGTGCTTAGTCCTTGTTAGATTCTCTAGAGCATAAAATACGGTTCTTGCTCCCAAATAGTTTATATTCTAGTAGGGAAGGGAAGAAGAGCCTACATTAAGCCATGGCAAATGCCACATGAAGGTGTATAAATCATCACTGCATTATCTGGGTGCCAACAGTAAGTCTGTACCAACTCTTATGGATGAGATTGGAGAAGGCAAGCAAGACCCCACAGCTCATAATCATTAGGACAGGAAGTCTTTGCAGACGTAGGATGAACTCTGCACATTTGCCTTGCCTAGAAAGATGAACTGTTTCATAGATGACCTTTTAAACCTGGGCTATAAATCTCAGTGGGACGCACATAGGGAAGAGTGGGCTGTTGTAACCAAGTCTTGGGTCTCACTGAATTTCCACACAGAAGCATTCCTTGGAACCTAGAGCAGGGTAATGGAGTTAAAGTAGGAAAGCACAGCCTTATGACATTCTCTGCCTTTATTCAACTCCTGATTATCCTAGAGCAGGGAGCTCTGAGTCTTTGTAAAATTGCTCTTGTGAGTGATGTTGCTAGACTCTTGCAGAAAGGATATTACCTAGCAGAAAAGCATGCCAAGGTTTTTTTCAGGCCCAGTAATTTTATATCTCCATTCTGTCTACACTCTAGGTTGTAAATGCCTTGCAGGCAGGGCCCTGCATTATCCGTATTGGCATCTCCCATTGTATGTGCATAGGAGTTATTCATTGATTGTTTTTCTGAAACAACTGCAACTGCCTTGGGATGTGTGACATGGGAGATACAGAGATGAGATTTGTTGAGTTGTGTAAATTTAAAGCTTTTTAGTGTGTGTGTGTTAGGTTAGCCTTGTGGCCCTGGAGTGGCTCTAGGCTTTCCCTTGTAGAAGCAAAATCACTATAGCAGTTCCAGACCTCACTTCTCCTAAAAAAAATTTTTTTTTTTTTTTACCACATCGTTCCTTATTTAAAAAGCAGATGGCCTTTTAAAAGAAAGGGGCTCCTATATATTGAAAAGTCTCTTTTAAATAAAAATAAAACTATGACCTTGATGATCTTCAGTGTTGAACTATAGGCGAACTTAGAACAAGAGGGGCCTTCCTGGCAATCCTAAGATGAAAGCATGTAGATGACTCCTTTGCTACCATGAAGATGGATCCTGGAGAGATGGTTTACATTCTTTATGCTCCCTTCTTGGGCCTTACTCTTGGGTCCAGTGAAGCCTGAAGCTTGGTATCTTATAATTCTTCCAGCCAAGGAGGCACTTGGGATTCTGCCTTCTAAGGGGTAGGGGTAGGTTCTGGCAGAACTCCAAGGCTCTACTGAATAAGGAGCTATCAAATCATGCAGCACTCACAGCTGGGATGCCCATGTGCATCAACTTTGGAAACCAGCAGTTGGATAAAGGAAATCCCCCAACCTGAAATGAATATCGGCTTGAGTTATTAAGCCCAGAAATATTTCCTGTCTTTGAGATTTGCTGGTAGGCCATGCTTGCCTTAAGTGAAAGGGTCAGATTTTCCCGTAAGCACTTGAGCTCTCTTGCTATTTTGGGTAATCACCTCTCCACACACATATGCTTAATCAGGAGCTGGAGCATAGGGAGTTTCACCGACTTTGTCCTGTGCTGCATTAGGATCCCTTCCTTGGCCAGGTGAGGGCTCTTGATGAGTTTGCCCCCTTCTGTGATCATGTTGTAGGGCTTTTGATTAGACATTGTTGTTTGTAATACATCCCCATGTTAACAGGCATTCCTCCAAGTGACGACAAGATCTGGCTTGCAGTGGATGATGGCTCTCCCCTGGGATCTCCTGGGGACAGGCTGGTGCTTTTAGAACTGCCATGTGCCTTGATCTTAATTTATCTGTTGTATTCAATATCATTGGAAGCTGGGAAAAGGCCAAATACCTGACCTCTGTTCCAGGGCTGTGGTATTGCACCCACTCCAAGCTTCCTTTGATCCTGGCTTTGGCAAGCCAAGTAGGGGAACGTCTTGGTCCCCAAAGGTTCATCTGACTTTGTCCATTTGTGACATTTAGTCTTCAAGTTACAGTTTGATTTGATTGCAGGTTGGAGAAAAAGAAGGCTTTGACAGTCTGCTAGAAAGTAGCTGATTAGACTGAGGCTTTTCCAAGTGTCCACATGAAGATTAGTATTCCCCCCAGTCATTGCCTAGCTGTCATCATGTGACAACTCTTGAGGGATAAGACATTGGGCTTTGTTTGGGCTTCCTGGTTATGAGACTTGGAAAGGTGGGCAAAGCCGTTATAGCCTACTGTGTTCATATTAGGGCCACTCCCAGTCCAAATACAGACCACTCCTTGGCCTTTTTAATTTTAGAGTGTTTGCTTAGGATGAATTCAAATTTGCTAAAATAATGTCTTCCTTTGAAGGGGGCAAGAAAATATTCACCAATTTTTATTGAAAAAATTTCATGGAGACAATTGTTGATTTACTTGAGCATGAAGGCCAATAGGAAAGAAAAAAAGAAAGAACAACTTGAAACAGCCTTGTGTGTAAAATATTAGTGCTGAGTTAGGAAGACATGGGTTTCAGGCAATTCCCATATGTGTAACATCATACATATTACGGGCACACGGCTTTTCTCATGCATCTTCTGTTCCCATCTGAAGTCTTATTGTGTGAACTAGGAAATAATGAAACTGCATTTTAAAATGTGTTTTATAATTAGAAGCAGGGGGCTTGATGAATTTTGTCACAAAATCAAGTCTTCAAGAGAACATTCTCAGTCTTAAAGAGAACAAGCTGGAAACCAGTCACTGGCAATGTGGAAAAATGTCAGGACTGGGTCTATAAACTTAAAAAAAAAAAAAAATGAGATGCCTCCTTTTCTTCCAACCTCCTTTTGGCGCTGCTTTCTCTGTTTCTCTACTGCTCTAAGATGCTTGAGCTGAGGGTGGATCTAAATAGCTGGGGGTTGTACCATTCCTTAAATTGCTAAGAGCCTTTTCCTGGTGGTGTCCTGTGCTTGGTGTTCTGAGACAAAGAATTTCAGGTAAAGAAAGTTCTTGATTTCTGTTTTCTGTGGGCTCTAGAGCAGGTTCTTGGGCAAGAAAAAAGTCTTTGTCAGCCTTCCCAGAGCCAAACAGTAACTATGATCCTGTCTATGGAGCCTCTTTTGGCTAGCCCAGCTGGGAAGTTCAGCCATACTTCATGTGGGCACCCAGTCTGGACATTGGTAGGTGTTCAGGGCTATGTTCAGGGCTGCCAGGGAGACAGAGGGGTTCAACAGCTGGCACTGCTGGTTGGCTCCAGGATTGTAACAAGGCTTATAAAAAGAGAGTGCCGAACAAGTTTGCGTCTCCGTAAGGGCCCATCTGAGATCTGAGAGTCTTCGTTTCAGCCAGAAGACCTGGTTGGTTTTAAGCACAGAGGAACTGTGCTCCCTGTAGTACACTTACATGATCTGTCACCGCAGCCCTACGTTCCTAGGAGCTGAAGGCACTGCTCGAGAGTCCCATTCAGATATCTGACACTGCTGGGGACGGGCTCCTCTCCCATGTGCAGCAGGGATGGCCCTAGTAGGGGCTGTGGGTCTGGAGAAGCAGCAAGGCCCATGTAGGGATAGGAAGCATTGACATCAAGCTGGTGACCTTTGGAGTGTGTGGTGCAAATTGGCAGGGATGGGAGCAGGAAGCAGTTTTGGCCCAGGCCAATGGTGACCTTCAGGCTCCCCCCCTGGGATCAGGAACAATGGGGTGTTGCAACCAAGGCCATGAGGTGGAGCAGAGAATGGCACCTGTGGTTGCAGCAGGTGAATTTTAATGACTGCCAAGGAGAGCTCAAGAGCCATTTGGAGACCCTGCCAGCCAAAGGGGAGGACCAGGGCCTGGGATTCCACAGATCTCCTGCCCCAGGCTTGGAGCCAATGACTGGTATTCTTGTTACTCAAAACCCCTCCAGTGGCCTTTATCCAGCTGGGAGAAGGAGGAGTGGCCCAGGTTACTCCTATTTCTTAGCAGAGAGACCTCCCTGATTCTTATTCTGGGGGACTGCATGTGAGCAGTGTGTGGGACTCCGCTAAAGTCAATGTAGGGGTCTACAAAGAACTTAGAATGCCAAGTCAAGCAGGGACAGCATCTCCTACAGTGGAGACATAAACTCCCTCCCCATGATTTTGTTATCCTCTGACAGCTGGAATTTGGACATTTCTAGCCTTTGGGTGAGAAGATTCATTTCTCCACTATCAAGGAAATTTATTCCAAGCTAGGTGTTTTATGACATTAGGGATATAGTTTTTTTTCCTAGTCATTTGCTTTCTGGAATATTCCAATTCTTATTGTATATAGCTAGATGACATCTGAACAGTGTAATGATTTTATCTGTTCTTAAAAATTTACATTTGCTATAGTATGAACATTGCTCACGGGTGCTACTTTTTTGGGTGGCATAAATGTTCGCACTCATTCAGAGCGCCCCTGTGACATGCTGGGCTTTCCTGTTTTGACTGCCTCATTTGTCAAAGACCCAAGGTCACACATGCTGATGTTGAGAATGACCCACCTGGTCCTCCAGTGAGAAATATGGAATACACCGTGCTTTCATACCATCAAGTGTTGAGAAATTGAAGCTGTCCTTTCTTACTCTTCTTGGTGTTAAATAGTGTTTGAACTCCGTGTGGTATTCTGATTAAAGCTTACCTGTCAGAAGGTGAAGGGCAGGCTCGTAGTTATCAAGATATGATTATCAGATATTCTTCTAAAAAACAAAACAGTAGCAGCAAAACCACAGCAGAGGCTGTGTGGCTCAGGCCCAGGCCACTTAAACAGACTTCTCTGGGGAGGCCTCAGACCTGGCTCTATATGTGGAGTTTGCTTTGAGGGAAGGTGCTTATGTATCTTCTGCAGAAACTGGCAGATTCTTCAATGGTCCAACACGGCTCTGGCCTCCTTAAACTCTGTTTAAGGCAAATATAAGAATAAAAAAATTAAAAAAAAAAACAAACCAAAAACTCTGTTTAAGGCCAAAAACGAGACCACGTCATGTGGGCTTCTGCCCCCAGGATGCATGCAGTGGGAGGTTCTCTGCATGCTAGTGTGTCTTGGCTCTGCATTGGGCAGCTTCGTCTTGGGTCCTTTATCCTCAATCCTTTTTTGTCGCCTCCCAGTGGAGAACAAGTCAGGTGTGGTCTTGCCTGAAGGAGCTGCAGAGGAATCTGTCCTTCACCAGCCCCGAATGCCCAGCCCCCAAGGCTGTGTGACTGTTACAGCCGGGGGGTAGGTACTTTCTGTTTCTGTCCTTTAAAGTTTTTTTTGACATTGTGCCACTTTTTCCTTTACCCTCCTTACCGACTCCTGACAGTTGGACCATTTGGCCAGAATGTGCCAAATTAAAAGTTAAGTATTTTATTGTGTACTTATGCTAAAGGATGGTTTTTCAAGCCAGATATTAGGATGTTATCTTTTATCTGTATATTTTAAATGGAAATGTATTTCAAGAGCCACAGAATGGAATATTTGAAATTAGGACTGTCTTAGAGAATCTGGGCTGGGGGGTTGCTACAACCATAGGGCATAGAAAAGAAGTTTAAGATTTTGCCTTGAGGTTGTTTGGAGATTTTGTGAAACTCACTGTGATATACGGAGAGGCCTGAACTGTTTCAGTTTCAAAGCATCTGTGTGTTCCTTCTATGTGCTCCTAGTGCTCGGGGTCCTGGCAGTCTAGACCACCTTGCCCCGCTGAACCAGTGCTCCCTGAGAGGCAGAAAAAGTAGCAGCTGCTTCTGTTGCCTTCAGCCTCAAAGGCCGAGGCCAAGGACCTCGCTGCTAGGTGCCTGCCAAGTCCTTTTGGCTTTCTTGAATGACTTGATCACACACTGATGTTTCAAGGCTGGGTGCTCCCCCGCTGGAGCCCTGAGAAATGCTTGCGTGGCATCCCTAGAGAAGGAAACTTAACTTGAAAGAAGCTCCCACAAAGTAAATCACCAGGACCGAATGGTTTTCATCCAAGAGCTGGGGAAGGAAATGAAGTGTGAAATAGCACAGATACTGATGAAGACATTAGTTCTCCATTAAAACCACAACCGTGTCAGAGCAGAGGAAGTTTGCTAACATGAGGACCTTATCACTAGAGGAGAGAGATTGGTGGCCTATCTGCTGCCTTCAGAAAACCTGGTCCACTTGGAAATAGTGGCACAAAATACGAACAATAGCACGTTCGCCTTTATTCCCGTAAAGCAGGTAAGAGGGACAGTGTGCTGATGCGTGCATGATAGCATTTTAGTAGAAGCCTTGGAACAAATATAATAGTGAATATGTCACACGTAGACTGCTATCCCCTACTTCTGTGCCCTTGGCAGCCATCGCTCATCAATCTGGTGCTCTTCCCTTTGAGCTTGGATTGGGCCTCATACGCCTCAGTTTTGTGCTCCTGACTGCCACCATCAAATGACCAGAGTTGACATATGTGTTAAAACTCATTTTCTCTCCTCGCTTAAGGGGATGTATTTTTCGTGGACCACAATGGTTTGTAATTAAATTATAAATAATGACGAGAAGGAAGTCTTTCACAGGTAGTTTAGTTTAAGATAAGAGCATGACGGGGCGCCTGGGTGGCTCAGTCGTTAAGCGTCTGCCTTCGGGTCAGGTCATGATCCCAGGGTCCTGGGATCGAGCCCCGCATCGGGCTCCCTGCTC